CATTTTTTAATAAAAATATTTAAGGATAGAGAAGCATCTAGCATCAAAGGAGTTTACAGATAAGCAATAAGTTGACTTATCGGTCCTTAAGTTGGCTAAGGTAATAAAATAAAACGGTTCTCTAACTTTATGTCTTATTCAAGACTAGCAAATCTGAAGTGTTACTTAACTTGAGATTTTAAAAATTATCCAGGGCTTTTACCAGTCTCAAGAGAAGAATAAAAAAGTAGGTATCAATGAACTAGTATGAAAATTTATCGTGTTCCTAGCACTAACAATAGGTTACCAGATGCAAATCTATACTTTTGTAAGAACTGAAAACATAGAAAGGAAAGAAGACATCATTGAGATTAAAACTTTAGACGGAATTAAAATGCCAGGTAGGAACAGGAAGCAACCAATGCTATTACTACCTTATTTTGAGAAAGACACGAAAGCATGAGCTATAAAAACCTTAATAGATAATTTAGAAGCCACATAAGTGTTAAAAGCTGACGCTAAAGCTGTTTTTATAGTAAATAAAAAACTGTTCAAGGCCTTCAAGAGTTAATTATTATCATGCTAGGTAAAAGAAGCTACAGAGCTCTGTGGAACAGGTACAAATATATTTACGGCTCAATCAATACACCATGTGTCAACTTCAGCCTTAAAAAGAAAACGAATTGACAATAATACTCTAAGAAAAACAATGGGATGGACGACTTGCTTCAATACCTTTATCAAATGTTATAACTTAAGTTAAAAGACTATCAATTTTACCATTGCAAAAAAAGTTGTAAAATCATAGAAAAACTGAAAAACGAAATTTTTTGTTACATCATATGCCCGAAGCCTGCTGAAGAGCACCGAAAAACTTATTTTTAATGACTACATATGATTATTTCGGTGAGGTGCGCAGAAAATTTATGTGATTATATGGTCTTACGTTAAAGTGGTGTTCTATCATACTCGTACGGAGCTCTTATTGATTTTTAACTTTAAACTTATGATAGGAAAAGTAATGTCAGGTAAGAATACTGAATGTCATTTTTTCGAATAACAAGCTTCATAGAATTATCATAAGATTTTACTTATAGGAAAATTCGATGAATCAAGTAATTTTGAAATATTTCTATTGCACAAAAAAAAATTTTGAATGTCTGAAAGATTATTATTTTAATTTTATTTGTGACATTAAAACTCCAGTCAATATATCTTTTCTTATCCATTCCTTTTCTTTTTTTTTTCTTTTTATCCCACGTTCAACACTAACCTAAACACCATACACTACATAAATGCGCAACAAAGCTAGCTTTTTGTAATGTAAGTGAATGGAAAAATGGAGAAAAATAATGACACACGAGCTGGTTTACCTGTCCTTCACTTCTTATAAGTTAATGATTTTATTTAAGTATCGTCTGGTTAACTTTGGTTATGATTTTCTATCCTTTTCTCCTTTTTCTTTGCTATTTATAGAAAGGTGACATAGTTAAATAAACAGATGTGCAAGCCAGAATGTTTTCGTTTTTTATAACGGGTCAAGGTTTGCTCAATGCAAATCAATATCAGCATGTAGCATTAATACCCTTTATTTTTTAGCACTCCTATAATACGAAAGGCTATGAAGCCGAAAAATTGCGCAAAACTTTAATGCGACCTACTTTTGATCACATTATTAATATAGATGATCAAACGATGTAACCAGTATTGATACCGCATAATAATTCTTAACAAGAAGACATGTATCCTCACACATATTTGCAATGTCTGCAAAGAAGAACGTGAATATAGAAAAAGGAGTGTAAAAAATTATATTTTATCTATATCTCATTATCTCTGGTCATTTTGTTGACAATAACAAGATTTTTGGCTGTAGAAGCCCACGGTTTCCTTTAAGACCGATTTATTTGATGGTCAGGCCAGCTTGGGTGTTACACCTATACAGTAATAGTCAGGCTTAGTATATGACCTGGAGGACCTGGTCGGTTCAGTCCATGGTCAAGACAGCTTGGGTATCATATCAACAGCACTAGCTTGACTCAGCACGTGACCTGAAGAGCCCAGCCAGTGCAATCTACTCATGACCGGCGATCCTGGTCATTTTGCTAAGTAAATCTTGTCTTAAGTCACGGTTATTACTCCTTTTAGCAAAGAAAATTTAAGGTTGGTCTTACATAAAACAATTAATAAAATTTATGAAGCTTCCTCTTTCTTGTATTGCTTAAAATACTTTGTTATGTGTTACTTTATTTGGATGTTGGTATAATATCATAAATTATTGTAAATGCCACGCTTATTTGAACTCTGTTGGTATAAATAATGGTGGCCAAGCAGCTACCTTTAATTTGAACTTAAATTTTTACGTTGTGTGTCAGTTGGTACAAATACCAACACCAAAGCAACTAGCTTGAAAACAGGGCTAGACTGTGTGCCACTAGTGTAAATGCTAATGGCCAAATAATTGGTTGCAGTTTGGAAACAATTAAATAAAAAAAGTAATCACCACAAAGGCTACTTTTCAGCCTTGGAAACCAATGAGGCGGGATCGAAGGGTGAAAAGATTTATCTGAGATGAATAGTTCTTATATGGTGAACCGTAATTGCCTTACCAATGAACCAAGGGTGCAGTAAATTTCGAAATTTTATAGAAAACGCCTCGAGGGATATGATATTTATAATAAAAGTGAAACAATGAATTACTGAGATATTGTATGGAACAGTGTAGGTAACGAAGTAAATGCAATGAAATCTTATCTTTACATTACCTAATATTTTCTTTTGATGCGCTGTGAATTTAAAAGAGCTCTGTAACAAGGAACCTACAAAAACACTTTTTCCTATAATCAATGTTAACCTCAAAACCAAGCTACTTCTACTACAAGCATGCTAGAAAATTTTAAATATAGTAAGTAACATTTTTTAAACTTGTGATTGCTTATATCTTCTTTTCTTGAAGTTCTCACAATTGTAAGATTAAGTAATTTTTGAACTCCTATTTTCTGTAACAGAAAAAAGAGAGTTCTACGCTTTCAGGGCTTAATATCTTAAAATACGGTAACTTATGTATTGGATTTCTTGAAACACTTCAAGATAAGTGACTTACATACCCTAAGCTTTGACAGTGCATTTGGGTTTACGGTTTTTTACCTTTAAAATCGTTTATTTTATTTATAAGTGACTAACTATCTCAAAATTAAACAATTCGTATGCTTCTATAATTAAAAATTTATGAAATTGCTGTTGTCAACCCTATACAACTTTGTAACTGGGTCTCTTTCGTGCCTTCAGCTTCATAAACTTTTAACTCTGGTTTTATACATGTTATAAGCAATTTAAGCTATGACATTGAGTGACTTTCTACAAGCATACTTTCAGGATTCCGATATACCATAAGTAATTTTTCGTTTACTGCTCAAAATCAACTGAATTTTGTCCTTTAAGTTCTACTGATAACAATACTTAATTAACAATAAATAATTAAACGCATGCTCTGAACTTTTATAATTTATACATGAAAAAAATGTATGCTTTAAGATCCAGTAAGCTCAGGATATAGTGAGGTTTTTTGTATTATACACCAAGTTATTAGTTTTTTTTAAGTACCCATGACCTTCTTACAATTTTAGAGCCATTTCAGATGCTGTTTAGCAGAATAATATAACAATTTATAAGCTGCAAGAGTAAATAAGTCTAGAACATACTGTAAGAAAAGAACACAGCTCTTAGCTCTAATGTTTCTATGATAAAAACATCAAATTAACTAATTTCTTGATTTAACCTACTTTAATATTTTTACTAAATATATATGCTGTAAAATTTTCACGAAAAAAAAGCTAAACAGTATGGTCATATACCTTTAAATTATTTATTCTGATGAGTATCAGGTTGTAAGATCCAGCAGCATACAACATACAAATATTTTACATATTAGAAGTATCCATAGCATACGATCATTGTACTTGCAATAAGCAACAAATATAAGGGGAGACATACAGATAGCTTGAATTGTCATCTATTTTTTTCGCATTAACGCTTCTACTTACAGAGGAGTTGGTGGCTTACATTTTCAATATATGATGTCTTTTGCTGTTTCAAGGTTATTAATTAAAACACTTGTGTTGCTTTACTTTATTTATTAATAGTAAGGGATGGACCATATTAGTTCTTACGATAGATCCATTGTGTACAATAATCCAGAGCTGTCTGGCTAGAAATATGTGTTACATATGAAAATATCCATACACATTCTACAAACACCGCTCATCGGTCATATGCATAGACACACCCAAGGATACTACATCTTTATTAAGGATTTATGTAAAAAAAATAACTAGTCAAAAAGGAGAGTAGCAAGGTACACTAACTATCTCGTTAACATTTACCTATGGTATATTGAGACAGTTTGCAGTAGAAGAGAGCAACACTCACAGTAAGCACAATAAAAAATTATTAAAGAATTAAAAATAATACGTCATACTACCATTTGACAGCTTTGCCGGAAAAAGACTGTGTCCCATATTATAGAAACCCATAGATGACGATGATCTGCCCATAAAAATAAGAAAAGTAATTTTAATCCCTATAAAGTGTTTATAGCTTAATAAGTACCAAAAAGACAAACTAAATAATTTAAGTGGCACGCCGCCTCGAAAATAGATGGACGTGATCTTGGTCACAAAAATTGATTTATTATAGGAAATAATTTGATTAAGCTAGAATATTATGAAAAGCAATTCCAATCATACGCTTATTTAGCCTTAACATCATTTAGTACTAACTGTTACGATACATTTCTTACAACAATTATTGTAGTATTTATGCAAATAATTATTGTAGAAGAGTATAATAGAATATTGGATCTTAAAAAATGATACGTGTGAAATTCATAAAACTTTCGGATGATATGACATTTATTCCCAACATACACGTCATTTTAAAAATACATATTATTATTGAAAAGCAACTACAGTGTATAAAAATTGCGTGCACTATAAAAAATTTATAAAACTACAACTAAAGCCTCTACTTACCCTATTTTTACGTCTTGTATTGCTTCTTCAGCAGTGTTATAATTATTGGCCTCCATTGTTCGGTACATATTTGATAATTCAACTTGACGTCGAAAATACGTGTCTACAGCTGATCCCTTTACGGTTGCACATGTCAAGTTTTCCATAGTATTTCGAAGCTAAAATTTTATTCAAAACATTTTATAAATTAGTTATATAACTTTACTTAGATGTATAAATGTATAAATTAGGATTAGAGACAATAAGATGCAGACAATGTTAATAATATATTCATCTAAATTAGATTTATGAAAGGTAGTTCTTATGCTCTACTTATTTTAGTTTCTATACCATCGAAAGTTCTTAAAAAAAGAAGCTTGTTTTAATTACTAGTTAGTTGAAGCAATCCATACTTATCATCTTAAATAAAGATTGTCACTTACATTTTCACACTACACACTATTATTAACATATTTCCAATGAGCTACCGAGTAAGCTTCAGGTACACTCTTCAAATAAAGATTTATTGTTGCTGTTTTGCAAAGCCATGAACCTTTAGCTGGTCAATTGGTTCTTATGAATACTATACGAAAATATAAAATTCTTAAGACTTAAGGCTAATTAATTGATACAATGTTGAAAAAACCTCCATAAAATAACCTTATTTCTTTAAACTTTTTTTCAAAAGTTTTTTTTTAACGTTTTCCAACGAAATGATTTAAATATACTTCTAATTCAATATTATGTGCTTTGCGATAATAACCTTTTCCAAGAGCCATAGATTCCATTAATTAATTATGTCCTTAAATTTCTGTTAGCAGCTATTTGACTTACTTAGCAGCATTAGTGCTCTTTATAACACCAGCTACTTTATGGACAGCAAAACTGGTTGTATTCAAACCAGCATACCAGGATATCAAAGGTAAGGCTCCACCAATTTCCATAGGAAGAAGAAAGATGCGTGAAATCGTAGCATAATTTTTACTGACCGATTTTTTAACTGCACTACATGCACCTTTAAAAGCACTACTGACGACATGACATCTCGAGAACTTTTGCTTTTAGTATTCATAACTTGCAAGGCAGCTATAATAACTGCACTTAAGGCACTGCATTATTTCTTCTTGACCTACCCAACCTTTTATTACTTTTGATAATACTCTGTTCTTTCTTCTGCTCCAACCCTCTATCAAATTGACTTTCAACCCTTATAGCACTGATCACCAGGGTAGCTGCTGCTATTTTACAAATACTGGAATCGAAAGCTTTAGGTCATCGCAAAACCTTCTCAACTAAAATTTTATCTATTTTATGTCTGGCTTTTAAATTTTTCAGCGTTCAGATTAATATGGTGAACTACTGACAGTATTTGTGCGGTATTTTGTGGCTCATTTAATTGGGAGAAAACTTATACTTTATGAGCTTTAATCATGCATCCCACTGAAATTAAGCTTAAAAATATGTACCTGTATTTGAAAACACTGCATTAACCAAAGGAAAAGTTTTCAAAATAACTATTAAAGCCTTAGAGGAAGTTTCATTGAGGATGAGCTCAACATACCTCTCTCTTTTTTTTTTTTTTTTTTTTTTTTTTTTTTTTTTCTTGCAAGCCTTCATTTTCATAAAAATCTCATTAATAAATATGTATAAGGAGGAATTGGGCAAGATAAAGACGCAAAAAATGGTCTACATTCTCTTCTCTCCTTTTTTGTTAACAGATTTATCCATGTCTTTTGGTGAAATTTAATAATTATTTTTTATCCTTTAATTCCCTTCCAAAGCTATTCTCAAACAAGACAACGTAGTAACCTACGCTGACTTATAAGCAAGGATGTCTAGTTTACACGTTGGCCAACGTTCTTGTAATGAGATTTGACAGCGGTATGCTACACCTCTATTATTCTATTTTCTTAACGCTTACAAAATCAAGGGCTCCCAAGTCAAAGAATTATTTAAACTGTAATGCGATCTATATTTGACAAGCGAACTCTGGGACCAGTGTCGTTGCCATACGATATTCTTTAGAAAATAGGCAGTAACCCAAAACCAAGACTATATATTTAAATGAAAACGGAAAAAATAAACGAAATCTTTTTCTCTCTCTATAACAAGACGATGCAGACTAACTCTAAGAACTTATGTACGTCTCGTCGTCCCTGGCCATAGTGGGGAAAGTATATAAGCCCATGAACTTCTTCATAAGCAGTCAGTCAGTCAAACTCATTCAATGATTAGGGCAGCTTTAATGTTTACCTAGAGCAGAAGACAAACGAGACACATGACCTGAAGAACCCGATCCATTCATATACGTGATCTGGAAAATCTGGTCCATTCGTTTCAACTGTGATGAGGCATTTTCTGGCTCTCATACGACGAGAGCATCTGATACAGGGCCGTCCCAATCACCTCTTGCAGAGAAGTATTCTTGTACATTTTTCTATCACCCTTAATGCCACTTCGCACTACTCAGCACTGTTGTCCCTTGACCTGAAATTCTCATGCAAAAGGGGGATCAATGCAGCCAACTAGTCAGGCACTAGCCGTTGCTAGGGAGAGGAAACAACTCGCAAAATTACTTAAAAATGCAAAGAAATAATTCCAATCAAAGTTCTTGTTTACTTCACCAACACACATCTAACAAATATATTGAGGTTACCGATACCATCCAACGTGATGCAACGCTCTGTCCCCAACCCACATACACTTAAGCTAGTCCACAAAGGTCTCCACCTTGGTAATCCCGTCCTCCCGGAAGACTATCACAGACTACGCGGCTTTCGCAAAAATTTGTATGTGCTGTATCTTATTTTGCAGAAAACTACAACCCAGTCAACACGATGGGCAGTGGAAGAGGTAAAGGTAAGTTAAAGTAATGAATATAAATGTCGTATAACACCTGACCATGGTCGTCTAACAATATTTATATTTGCTTCCTCATTTGTACAGTTTTGAATTGTTAAAGAAAATGATAATTGTCAAACACAAATATATTTTTAAGGCAGTATAACATAGAACTAATTAATAAAAGTGAAATCACTGGCAACTAGTGTACGTTAACTAGTAATTCCTAAGTTCGAAGATAACATTTATGAAAACTTAGTAGGAGATTTGGTATTTCATCCAAACCAAAGCTTTACTTACATTGAACCACATATCTTGGAACAATACTGTTTACATGAATTTTTGTAATACAAAAGTAGAATGAAATATTTATTTTCAAGTATAGGGCAAGGTGGCCTAAAAACGGGTAGGCACTTATGTGCCAGCGCATGAAACGCAAAAGGCTAAGTATTAATATGTCGAGGTTACCAGAATATTTCTGAGTTTCACTCACTTACTTATAGGGTATTATTTACACGAAATTTTTACAAAATCAATAATTTGATCAATTATAAAAGGTATGTAGTTTGTGATTAGTGAAAAATGACAACACGTATTGTATCGTTGTTATTTTTCATTAATTTGAGCCCATTGAAGTTTAAATTAAGCCAAAATATTAGCATTTTGTATTAAACTTTTTGAGGTAACCATTATTTAAATAAAAAACGTGTACTCGGACAAAGCGAGTTGCTTAGCAGGTATACGATTTCCACTTATATTATTAAATATACTAAAATTTACATCATTTAATATACTTAATTACTAAATTGAGAGTATACTTTTTTTTTTAATTTGTTCAAGATAATGAGTAAATATAGAAGGGAAACACAGGGATTTATAGAATTATGTTAAGGACTCTTTAAATTGTTAAAATATTGTTAACTACTTTTAAGTTATCAATTTAAAAATTTAACGATCATTTAGATTTAAGTATATCTATATTTTATAAGGGCGTATCTGAAGCCATTAAAGGATGATTGAATAAGACTAAAATTACCATGACGATAATTAATCAAAGTACATTTTCCTTCATTGTATTGCCTTTCCGCTTTGCCAGAACGGATGATCCGCTTTTTTTTTCCCCCTCCCAAGTGGTTATGTCAAATATCTTTTTTTTTTTAAAGGTGGATTGAACATTAATGGATAATAATCCTATCATTTTTATTGATTTTACAGTTATATGTGCCCTCTAAAAAAAATAGAATTGATCTTCATCATTGTACAAATACTAAATTTTCTGGGTCTGAAATGTTAACTCACCTGGTTTAGGCCACCTTCCTCTATATACCGTAATAAAAGAACTGTGTTGATTTTCAGGAAGAAATAGAAATGGTCATTGAGCAAGAAGGCAAATAAGATACCGTAGGGAGATGGCGATGAGGCGTGGAAGATTTTAGAATTGGAAAAAGTTTTTAAGTATCCTGCAGGTCTCAAAAATCTGCAATACGAAAATCAGTAAGATGTAACATTTACTTACGTTAGTTAAAGTATGAAGGATACATCGTAAATGTACCAACGATGCACAGTATGCTGAACCTGACTTTTTTGTGTAACAATACAATTGTGCCTTCTATAATGATCGAATTTCAATAACTTTTTATGCAGCTTGAAGGTAAGAGCATACGTAATAGAGGAAAAATGGTTCTTAACAAAAAGAAAAATTTTCAGGATTTAAAAAACTACCATTAAGATGAAAAAATATGTAATCTGACACGGAAGTACTAATTTTTTTTCAAGGAAATAAAAAATATTATTTTATGTCAGAATAAAGCAACATCGGTAAGGTTATTATAAAAAAAAAAATTACAAAGGGCCATATTTTGACACCCAGGGTTTGAAACGTTAAAAAATTTACATATTTTTTCATCTTTAGGGTAGTTCTTCCTACTCCTAAAATTTTTTTCTTATTGCGGACCATTTTTCCCTTATTATTTATGTTCTTACCTACCAGATGCATAGAAATAATAAAAATTTGATCATCACACTCAAGGAATATTATTCTTGTTAAAAAAAGTTAGTGATCCGATATGATTTGTTCACTTTGCTGTCATAGTATAGTTCACAAGAATAATTACACAACTTAATCCCACGTATTGAAAATCATTTTTGCCAGACCAGTGAATAAAGTACAAAATTCTTAAAATAGATGGCAGTACAAATGAAAAGATCATAAAATATAATAAACGTATTTAGATTACAAAAGAAAAAGTTAATTTTCTAATCAACGCACTAAATTGTCTCAAAAGCTGGATTTTTTTACTTTTTCTTAAAAATTAAGCATATATTTGACGTAACATTA